TTTTTGTTTTAACACATGTAATAGTGTTTGTGTAAGACAATATTGATGTGTAGGTACTGACAGATGATTCTTGTGAACAGAGAACATTCACTTACAGTATTGATAAGTACAGTACAGAAATGTATTTCTCTTTGATTTTAATAACATTTTCTTCTAGTTTATTGAAAGGATACAGTATATAATATATATAATTACAAAATATATGTTAAACAACTGTTTACATTATCAGGCTTCTGGTCTAGAGTAGGCTGTTAGTACTTAAGTTTTGGGGGAGTCAAAAGTTCTATGTGGTTTTTGACTACACAGATCAGCACCCCTAACTTCCATGTTGTTCAAGGGCCAAATGTAGGATGTGAGGGCGATCTGGCTGTGACATCTGTCACCCCATTGATCGCCAGGGTTGATTCGGCTGATCTGGCTGGCTAGGCGGGTGTCCCCTTCCTCCCTCACCGCTCCATGTGCGTCCCTCCCGAAGCTGCGCGCTCGGTCGAAGAGGACAACCTTCCCCGATAGAGGAGGACCGTTCTTCGGTCAAGGGTATAGGAGTAGCTGCGCTCCCTTGCTAGAACCTCCAAACGAGCTCTCAAGGGCCAAATGTATTACTGTTAATTATTCCCTTTGTGTTACTGTTTGCTTTGTATATTTAGGTCCTCCTGTATTGGGTGCATAGATATAATTGTTCTATCCTCTTGTTGGATTGATCCTTTTATCATTATGTAGTGCTCTTTGTCTTGTTACAGTCTGTCTTAAAAATCTATTTTGTCTGATATAATTATTGGTATCCCAGCTTTCTTTTCATTTCCATTTACATAGAATGGCTTTTTTTATCCCTTCACTTTCAGTGTCTGTGTGTCTTTATATCTGAAATGAGTCTCTTGTAAGGCAGCATTTTGGGGTCTTTTTTTTTTTTTTAATCAGTTCAGCCACCCTATGTGTTTTGAATGGAGCATTTAATTCATTTACATTTAAAGTAATTGTTCGGTATGTACTTACTGCCATTTTGTTCATTGTTTTCTGGTTGTTTTTGTAGTTCTCTGTTCCTTTTTCTCTTGCTCTCTTGTGGTTTGATGACTTTTAGTGTTATGTTTGATTTCTTTTTCTTTATTTTGCATGTGTCTATTATAGGTCTTTGGTTTATGGTTACTATGAGGTTTTTAATATAATACCCTATGTATATGGCAGTCTATTTTAAGTTGATGGTCGCTAAAGTTCAAACACTAAAGCACTAGTGTTTTCTAAAAGCACTACATTTTTCCTCCCCTTCCCATTATGTTTTTGACATCATATTTTAAATCTTTTTATTTTGTGTGTACTCCTTAACTAATTTTTGTAGATATAGTTGATTTTACTACTTTTGTCTTTTAACCTTCATACTACCTTTACTGTATATTTGCTTTTATCAGAGATTTTTTCTTTCATAATTTTCTTACTTCTGGTTGTGGCCTTTTCTTTCTTACTCCCTATAGGGCGCCTGGGTGACTCAATCGGTTAAGCGTCTGCCTTCGGCTCAGGTCATGATCCCAGGGTCCTGGGATCAAGCCCGGCATCGGGCTCCCTGCTCAGTGGAGAGCCTGCTTCTCCCTCTCCCTCTGCTGCTCCCCCTGCTTGTGCTCTTTCTCTCTGTCAAATAAATAAATAAAATCTTTAAAAAAAAAAAAAAAAAGCCCTGTAACATTTCTTGTAAGGCTGGTTTAGTGGTGAGGAATTCCTTTAGCTTTTCTTTCTGGGAAACTCTCTCTCTCTCCTTCAATTCTAAATGATAATCGTGCCAGGTAGTATTCATGGTTGTAGGTTTTTTCCTTTCAGCACTTTGAATATATCATGCCATTCTCTTCTGGCCTGCAAGACTTCTGTGGAAAAATCAGCTAATAGTCTTATGGGGTTTCCCTTGTACATAACTAGTTGCTTTCCTTTTGCTGCTTTTAAGATTCTCTTTTTCTTTTTGCTATTCATCTTTGGTGATTTCCACTACCATCTTCCAGATGATGATCCATTCTTCATTCTTCTGCATCCTCTAATTTGCTGTTGATTCCTTCTCCTGTATTTTTTATTTGTTATTGTATTCTTCAGCTCTGATTGGTTCTTTTTCATATTTTCTCTTTGTTGTAGTTCTCACTGTGTTCATCCACTCTTCTCCCAAGTTTGGCAAGCATCTTTATGACTGTTAATTTGAACTCCTTATCAGGTAGATTGCATATCTCCATTTTGTTAAGTTGGGGTTTTTTTGGTGGGTGGTTTTTTTTTTTTTTTTTTGAGGTTTTGTCTTATTCTTTTGTTTGGAACATATTCTTCTGTCTCTTCATTTTGCCTGTCTGTATTTGTTTCTGTGTATTAAGCAGATCAGCTACATTTCCCAGTCTTTAAATCTTTTTTTTTTTTTTAATTTTTATTCATTTGAGAGAGACTGAGAGAGAGCATGAGAGGGGGGAGGGTCAGAGGCAGAAGCAGACTCCCCGCCGAGCAGGGAGCCCGACGCAGGACTCGATCCCGGGACTCCAGGATCATGACCTGAGCCGAAGGCAGTCGCCCAACCGACTGAGCCACCCAGGCACCCTACATTTCCCAGTCTTGAAGGAGTGACGTTATGTGGGTGTCCTGTGGGGCCCAGAAACACAGCCTCTCCTGGTCATTAGAACCAAGTGCTCCGGAGTGTTCCCTCTGTGGATTGCATGCGCTGTTTTGCTGTGCTTGGCCACTGGTGCTGCAGGCACGCTGGTGAGCAGGGCTGGCCCCCAGCCTACCTGGCTGCAGTGCGTGTCTGTAACTGCTGTGGGCATGCTGGTGGGGCCAGCCAGGTCCACCCACCACAGCAGGGCAGGAGCCACTTTGGGGGAGTGCTGGTCCCTGCTAGGCCCCAGGTGTGGTGCACAGGAACTGCTTGGAGGGGTGCCTGTCAGGACAGGCAGGGTAGGTCTGCAGGGGAACATTTGGGTGGGTTGAGTTGTGCTAGCAAGGTAGATGGAGAGTATCAGAAATGGCGCCCACCAGTGCGCCATTTCTTCCTTTGGCCAAGCAAGTTCCCACAGATCCACATGCCTCTGGCACATACCCTGAGATCAGTCAATAAATCTCCTTCGTGTATGGCCCAAGCACTTCTCAAACTGCCGCCTCTGAGCTGGATGTCAGAGTGAGCTTGTGTGCCTGCCCTGGAAGAGCAGAATCTCTGTTTCCTATAGCCCTCCTGCTCTCCCTGCTGATTTTTAAAAGTCGATTATGGGGATGGGGCTCATCTTCCCAGTGCAGGTCCGCAGGGCAGGGGTGCCGGATGCAGGGCCTGAACCTTAGGGAGGACCTCGGCATTTGTGGTATCCGCCCCGCCTGTGGAGTGCCACACCAGGCGTGTGGGTCCTGACTAGACCACATCTCTGCCAGACCCTCCTGCCCATCTCAGTGTGGCTTTTTCTTTAGATCTTCAGTTGTGGAAGAGCTGTTCTGCTAGTCTTCAGGTGGTCATCAGCAAGGGTGGTTCTACATGTAGATGTAGTTTGGGTGTGTCCATGGGGGAGACAGGTTCAGGATCATCTTACTCTGCCATTGTGATCATGTCCCCCCTAACATGTATTTACTCATAGAATTAGAAACAGTGTTTTAACAATTGATTTAAGTCAATTTAAGAAAAACATATCAGGGAAAGAGGTCAAAGAAACTCTTCAGACTTGCTTTTGGCAACTCCCCGAGTATAATCTGCATTACAGATTGTTCTGGTCTCCATTTCCTATGCTGCTGACACTCCATTAGTAAGTTTGTTGAAGGCAGGGAAAGTTCTTATCTGCTTTTGTGGCCCTCTCCCTCAGTGCCTTACCCCTTTTCTGGCTGAATAAATAGTTGCAAAATTGACTGGAGGCATATATATTCAGTATTTTTCTAAGAGCAACGACAGGTTTTCCAAAAGCAGCCAGGGCTGTGCAGTGTAGCCAGAGGGGTGCCCTGCAGGGGAGCTCCTGGGAGGGCCCACCAAAGACCTCTCTTGGCCACAGTCGCTGTGGGTACTCGGACAGCTGAGCTGAAGGGGCACTGACTGTTGCAGCCATGATAAATATCTGTGGTTTGTTTCCATCCAGACTGGGGAAAACTTCGAGCTCTACTGAGATTCCAGGCATCTTCCCCTTCCTTTGTTTTGCTGTATGTGCTAATTATTGACAAGCTCTGTTTTTCTGGGAGGAGTGGCTCCTGGCTGGCCTGTTCTCAGCCAGAATGTTCACAAGGAACATTCCGTGCTCGGTACTGACTGCAGGCAGAGATGAAGGAGGCACCACAGGAGACTAACCGAGGAACCCAACACACCCCCCCGCCCTTCCAGCTTACACTAGAAAAACAAGAGGAATGAGGAAAGCTACCCTAGGAAATGCCTTCTTTAAAAATTTATTCCTTTTCCCCCTACTTTGATAAGTTTGGGAATTTGTTATTGCTGCTCTTTTTTTTTAAGTAGAAAAATACACGATTAACTTAATTATTCCAGCCAGCTTTGGGCCTAGCTCCACCGGTAGGGGATAAACGTGGCATGGCAGAGGCCCCTGTGGATTATGATTTATGTGTTTAGTTATTTTCCATTTTGTAGCTTCATTACGGGGCCACTTTCTTGCTCCCTGAACGTCCTGATTCCCAGCAGGCTGACTGTGTGTGGATGTCACGGCAGGGCAGCGGCTACCACGCTCAGCCTCTGCCACCCGCTCCTTCAGCAGAGGAGCACCTCAGTTAATCTGTTCGGTGGACGGGAGACGGAGCTGCGCCTGGCTCTCCGGCTTGTGATCTGGCACCTCCGCCAGCCCCTCTCTGCCGTGGGGTTTGAGTCCGAGCGGGAAGGTGCCCGGTGTGTCTGCGCGCCCTCTAGAGCGGCTTCGTCCCAGGTGCTTCAGGAGACGGGCGCCCCATGGGCTAGAGCCACACAGCTGGGACCTCACCGAATCTGCTCTCCCCCACCCCAGCTCTGCTTGTCCTGGCCCCGGGCAAGCGGAGCAAGTATTCACTTCTCCATCTCTCTCCCCCTCCTCTGGCCTGAGGTGTTTGAGGAATTGTGGCAGAGTAAAGGGAAGACTCCATCGCAGATTGTTTCAGAAAAGAAGCTTGAACTGATGCAGGATCAAGAGGCGCTGGAACGGGTCTGCCACACCGTGATGGAGGGGCATCCTCAAGTGGTAATTATCACCTGCAGGGAGAAGAGGGGCTTCATGTGCAGCCGGGGTAAGGCTGGCCAGTGCCGGCCTGAGGACTCGGCCGAGAGCCTCTCCACTGCTTCCCCTCGCAGCCCAGAGGCGCCTCCTAATAAGGGCTGGCCCAGTTTCATCAGGAAGTCCCTAATAAATTGTGTCTGCTTTTAGCTAAGGTCAAGAGCTGAAATTAGGTGAATATTAGAAAAATACAACTTTTCCTACAAGGAATATCCACCCCTGGGGTTTAATCTCATGGAGTTGGGTTTTCAGGGGTGTTGATCAAGCTCACTAGATCCAAGTTTTGACCTCCCAGCATGATGCACTTTGAATCTGTTATAGCTAGCTCTGCTTTATAAGGAGACCTCTCACTAATAAACCAGCAGGCATGACTGCAGAAAGGGAAGAAAGATAGGCAGACACTTTAGCTCCCTGCCTTTAAGAGGTAGGAAGAAAGGCAGAAAGGGAAATTATTTGTAAATTATGGAGAAAATCCTTGACAGGGGCATAGCTGAAAACCAAGTCATTTTGTGTTCTGGGCATAGAACAAAATATAAAAGCTAAAATGAGTACCATCCCTCCCTTCCCAAGTCCAATCATACTGTCTAGAGATTTTTTAGTGGGTAAAAAATTGCTAGCATCTCTTTCAGAATAATACCCCCCCACCCATCAGCTTGCCAGAGACACTAACAGCTCTGAAAAGAGCTCTCGATAAGGAAAATGAGCTTGCGCTGGATCTCGGCAATCCCATCTCCCTGCCTCATCTGTAGTGACTGATAAAGGCACACTTTCCATTTTGGACTCGTTCTGCGGCACCGAGTGCAGATACCCACAGATGTCATTACCCATCAAGATGCTGCAGAGCGGAAGGTCAGGGTGGGTGGCCCTGACAGTCCGTGGCTATTTGACAGGAATCCGGAGGCTCCTGCTTTTGTTGTCCCCATCTTGCCCACCACAGTGCACTCCCCAACCCAAATGCTCCCAGAGAGTTGCCATTTTGTGGATTTGTTTTCTGATAAACACATCGTCTTGGCAGGGAGTTGGGGGGAGAAGGAAAGCCATGCATTTCAGTGCCTGCTGACCACCACTGGAAGATTAGAGAAGGACCTCACTCTGACTAGACTAGGTCATTCATCTTAGGTTACTCACCCCGAGACCGAGAAGCTCTGCGTCCTCATGTCACTGTGGTGCCCAGGCGAGCGCCCTCGTCCCTGTGCACCAGCTCTCGCTGTAGCCAGCACTCACAATGCGTCACAGCCCTCTCCTTGCCCACTTTCCCCAAAAGGCAGAGTGGCTAGCATCCCATGTGACAGGAGCCCAGAGACCTCGGAAGCTCACCTCCTCCCTCTTCCTTTTCTCATTTTGTATCAAATGCTAACAGAAAAGAAACTGAATTTGTCAGTAAACGTAAACCTTAACTTAGCATTTTTAAGTACGCGTGTCATTATTTTCTCCTCTAAAACAGTTCCTATCTTTAAAGGTAATGGACGTGAAGAGGGGAAACCCCAGAGCTATAAACAAACTGATTGGGTTGGTCCGAAAAGCAACTCTCAGCCGAGCAGACCCGACTGTGATAAAGAAGATCCTGGAGAGGAAGCTGTCGTCATGAGCCGTTCTGGGTCCCTCTGTGCCCGAAGGAGAGCAGAGTGGCCTCGACTGAGAACAGGAGCCCGTGACGCGTGCCATCCGGGGGCTCCCAGGCCCTGGCCCCAGCTACAGCCCCGGGATGCCACCTACACAGACAGACCAGCCCCGACAGCCCGGCTGCCTCACTTACTTCGAGATGGTTCCAGATGCAGTGGTGGGGAAGAAATAGCACAGTTCCAGTGCTCAGTGATTCGGAACTAAGTGAGACCCTGTTTCAAATGCTGTCACCGTTCTGAGAAAACTTTTCATTCGTTGGGATGCAGTATTTTAGACCTGAAAGTAGATGAGTGGAGCTAAAAACCACCACAGAATCGACACGTTGTAAACAGGAGGCCTCGTGCGGATGGGAAGGAGGGTGTTAGTCTTACTACCTTCCCTCATCCATGGACTCAAAAGTGTCTTTGCCTGTTCAGCTCCCTAGGGATCCCAGAAGGTAGAGGTCTGAGAATTAAATGAAAAATTTTTTGTTAAAAATACACACACACACACAGAAGTTTTCAAATAAATTTAATGAATAAAATAGTGAACTATCACATAAAAAATTAACTTACACTTCAAAGATTGTGCAGTTGACAACTCCCTCCCCACCCCCACCCCCACCCCCAGGCCAAAGAAAGATAAACAAGCCGTAACATTAAATTGATTTGTTCTGCCTGGGAAGAATAAGATGATAAACTAGAACATCAGAATCTTGACCTTTAACAGTAATTGTGGTACAGTTAACAACACCCTCGTGAAGGCTGGGCTGGCTTGGCCCCTGCACTCGGGATGGGAATGCCATTGCTCTCTCCTGCACCCAGCGTGCACCGCGTGCCGCTGTTCCTTCTGACTCGCCACACTTAACGACCGGTTTCAAGGCTGCTTCTGAAGAGTACATGTCAAACTGTGGCATCAGGAGGAGAACAGACTCTCTGCAGTCTCAGATGTTACACAGAATTGCCAAGCCTACCCAGGAGAGTCCGAGCACTTCCCTCACGATGCTGCCGTGGCAGCTGGGGGACTGGGGACAAGCAGGCCTTCCCTGTCACCAATGTAGCAGTGAACAGTGCTCAGGACTTCCCTCCCTCAGAGTGTGACGGAAGCCTCCCTCGGACCCTGCCGGGAAAGCAGGGACAGAAAGGAAACCAGGTGTGTGGTTTATTCCAGACAAGCATGAGGAGGTAAGGTTTTAAAAAAAAAAAAACTTTCAAAAAGAATGACTTAGAATATTGTGAGAGAAGGTGTTCCCTCACCCAGGAGGCCGTGTGGCCCTCACGCATTCTGCTCCAATACTGGAAACTACTGAACCCAGAAGTAAGATATTTTTTCTTTTCAAGAGAGAAAGGCAGAGTCCATTCTCTCTCCTCGCATTGCAGGTCTGAATTACAAATGGGCAAAGACGTTTGAGACTGGATTTTGGCAGGATCGTTGTTTTATAAGAAATAATAGGGTTCAGCTTTGTTTTACAAACTCCATTTTCACCAAAGGTCTGGCTTCTGGGACATCAAACTTTACAGAAGCCACTGGGGGATCTTTCCACACCATTTCAAATCAAGGCCTTGCTTAAATGGGTGATGGGGTGGGGGGGGCGGGGTGAGGAGGCAGCTGATGGAGACAGTTTCCCAAAACTGTTATGTCCAGTGTGAACTGTACTATGGACTGATCATTTCCAGAGAAAAATGCCATCATGAGAACACCTGACCTTTAAGTGATGGGTGTTGACCTCTGACAACTTCCCCATGGTCTTGAATGCCCACAGTTGAAATCCTGAAAACTGGACAGTTACATTGTTATAACTGCTAATAGAAAAGGCACAGCTCAGATACCTTCCTTGGAACCTGACTATATATTCAAAAGATATGTTTGCATAATGGTGTCAGAAATTCACAAAGTATGGCTCTGCTCATAAACAGGCCTCAGTCAAATATAGTTTGAAATACGTCTTTGCATGAGTGAGAATTCAGTCTGGTTCTTTGTTGCTGTTCTGGTGAAAATCTCATTAAAATGTAACAGTTGGTGTCCTCGGTAAAGCCATTGCCATCTGTCATTGGAATCCACACTTATAGTCTGGGAAGGGAATGTGCTGGAAAACTGGCTCTTCTCCAGGTCGGCATGAACCAGCTCTACCTGGTCATGCCCAAACCATGGGTTCTGTTAGTTGAAAAGGAAGTCGGCTGGTTGGTTCTGGTGGGAGGTTGGGAATGTAAGCCTCAACACTAGGCACACTACCTGACACAGAATAACTTTAGTGAAGGTTGATTAAATCGATAAAACAAAATTAGCAGACAGCCTTTTGTGGGCCTTTTGGTATGAGAGGTTGGTGCTGCCAACTAGTAGGCTTTTAAATTCTGGACATCTGGGTCTAGGAAGGAGCTTCTTGACTCTATCCAGGCTTATGCATCAAGGTGAACTTCTGTTTTTATCTTTCAAAGTGTATGTGCCCCAAGAAAAGGAAGCTAATTGTAATTTATACCAAGTTTAGCATGTTTTAGCTGAGCTTACACACATACACTTTTGTAATTATTGCTTATCTGGAAGAAGGCTATGGAATTTTTGAAAGTACACACCCTTCTAGAGCTTTGAGTTGATTAATTCAATACACAGCTTATGGAAATGACCCACAGTTCATATCGTCTTTTTCATTTCTATTGAATGTGCTGCATCACTTCAAGGATTCTACATAGTGACTACTGGGGGAGAAAACACACTGAGTCTATCTCAAAGGCCATGTTATTTACCCAGTACCAAGAGCAGCATGGAAACGGCTGCCATGCTTCTCTGGCACATCTTAGACAAATGTCTTCATGGATTATTTGTGAACACGGCTAGCCCTAAAGTGAGAGATGGATAGAATCTGATTGAAATCCTCTCTCATTGCCTCCCTTAGTCAAACAATTTAGCAAAAATCATTTAAGTAAGATCAACACCAAATTCCCTCTTAAAAATATCTCCAGGCAAAAAGGGGCCTTGTTACAGGTCTTTTGCAGACTTGTCCCAATAAAAAGTCAGCAGACACACTCAGAAGCACAGACTTCTGCAGCCTCAGCTCCATGAAATTTATAATCTGGCCCAAGAGTTTCCCCACCTGGGTGGCTCAGTTGTTAAGCATCTGCCTTTGGCTCGGGTCATGATCCCCCAGGGTCCTGGGATCAAGCCCCGCATCGGGCTCCCTGCTCAGCAGGAAGCCTGCTTCTCCGCCTTCCACCTCCCCTGCTTGTGTTCCCTCTCTCGCTGTCTCTGTCAAATAAATAAAATCTTTAAAAAAAAAAAAAGTTTCCATCGCCCTTGTCAGATTCTAAAATGACACAGTAAATCTCAGCTCCCCAAGAGATGCCTGAACTATACATTGAACGCATACCGACCATGCCTACTGGGGGTCTTGTAACTTGTGTGGCTGACAGTGAGGTTTACTCACACGTCATAAGACAGGAACAAAATTCACAATGACCCAAAAGGATGGGAAGGGTCAGTCCTAGCTAAAATCATCATCTGTCTCAGGATCCTAAGTGCAGACACCGAGGAACTAAAGGCTTCCCCCATCGTGTCCCTGTCCTCTTCCCTGTGGGGAACCTCACCAAAAATCTTTCATTAATGCCCTGTTTGTTTATCCAGTTAATGAGTGGCCGGAGAATATGTCCTCCAAAACAAGTAATGGCCCAATAAATGCCTGAACGTAGAGAGGATTTACTGAGGCAAAATTATCCCGAAAACAATTCTTAGTCTTCCAAAGAGCTCTTTCTAAAGCATTAAGTTTATGACAGTCATTCAAGAGAGGGGGAAAAAAAATCAACTCCATTTTCTTAAAATGCTTCCTCGATGATGTGATTTAAGGATGGAGTATAAACCGGTTTGACAGTGTACTGTGTTAAGCTGTGATCTGATGGAGGAGTGCTGTGGGATTTATAGAACGATGGCTGAAGCGAGAAGGGGGCCTGAGAATATCTGCTTAATGACTTAGAGCTGGTGTGGCCCCAGCCACCAGAGGACCACTGCTTCCAGGAAAAGCCAACACTGCAGAGCTGGCTGCGATTCACGGCAAGCCACAAATTTACACCAGCCCGGGCCAGTGACTTGGAAGTTGCACATGCAATAATAGCTGTCCTGCAATAACGTCTTTCATAAAAATGGCAAGCTTGATAGCCATTTCAGTAAATAGACCTATCATTCGCAATTAAACTGAACTGCCCTTAAATGAGAACTGGAGCTCATGCTGCACACATTGCCCAGCTCGCCCATGACACAGCCCACCCCGGCCAGGCAGCACTCTCACGAAAGCGACCTGGGCACACGGATCCGGATTGAAAATGTGCAGCCCTTCCACAACCCCGAAGCTCGGAACAGCTGGGCAGCAACCCAACACGATCACGGCAACCAAGCCCGTTCAGAGCCGTCAAAACATCTTTCCACCCTGAATACCACTGGCTGCCCAAATTGAACATTCAGGCAACCCAAATATTCTCGTATCCTGTTTCTGGATTCTGTTCCTAAGAGGATGCTCTCCCGACAACACCAGGGCTCCATGATGTCTCAATGGACTGGAAACCAGCAACTACATCTGACCTAAATCAAAGCCACTACCACAAAGGTACTCCTGAGGACATAAAAGACCTGAATGCATCCTCCCTACCCATGACAGAGACCTCAGTTCCAACCCACCAATATGGCAAAGTATTTTTCAAGACAGTACTAGGTGAAAGGGCAGCAATTTCATGATTCCTCTAAATAACAAGGAAAGGAAGTACTGATAATGAAAATCACATCTCTTCAACTGGTTATTCCAGCATCCCTGTTTCATGGCTGGGAAATTGTACCCCCCAAGAAACTGTATTTTAGGCTAAACTCACCTGCAATTTCTTTGATTGAAATTTTAAAAACATTTCCTTGGTCATTTCTAAAAGTCAATTTTAAATATCCCATTGCTCACATATACTTTGAATCATAAAATGCACTCCATCTAGAACTTTACCTCAGACCCAGCATTATGAATTGAGATTTATGTGTGAGGTTCCAGGAACCCTCCAGTTGCTTTCACTGCCCAGGACCATCAGGCTAGACACAGCGACACCATTCTCGGGGCTTTGGCAAAAGGGTCTGTGCCCACTGTGTCTTCCAGCAAGGAGCACAGCGTCTGAGTGGGAGCCTGTCACGTGGAAAAGTGACCATACTCCGGGGCCACATTTTAAAGCATATGCCAGTCTCTTGACAAATTTCTCCCAAACACATGACAAAAAAATTTCTAAGAGCCTCACCTATTACTTTGATTGGAATATTCTATTTCATTACCATGATTTTTTCCCACCAAGGAGTTCCCATCATCACCCACCTGCTGTATAGTATCTTCCTATCTGCCTAGATCAAAGTTCATTCCTCTGAACCCCTCAGGATTTGCCTTCTCCTATTTATAGCCTCAGGACTCTGCGGTTTCTCCTATGTCCACACCATTCCCTGAACCATCCTCACCTAAGCTACCCAGCTGTTTCCCTCAACCCTGTGGGGTTTGCCAGTTCTCCATAATGTATTTCCAGGTCAAATTTCTGACTTCATTTTGAAAACCCTTGAACACAATACTCTGGAGGGAGGCCTATACCGGATTCAGAAAGATGAACCAGTTCCCAATTTCCAAATAGGGTTATCGTGTGAGTTTGCTACAGCACCCCAACCTGGGAGTTAATTTTCCCAACTCCCACTCCAGATACTGGTCATCTCTGTCCTCCTTTAAGGTAAGTCTAGTTCAGTACCTATTTTAAAAAATGCTAGGAGGCACAAAAGCAATTTCTTTCCTAAAAGGGCACCTCTACACAGGGGACTGTGGTGTTCTGTATGTAATAAAGCAACATGGACGGAAGAAGAATTGACACCAACACCAGATAATGGAGAGAAGTGTACATCACATCAAAAAGCTAAGGAATACACTTCCCGGGTGTGACTTTCGCCTTTCACGTGCCTGGTAAGTCCAAACTGGAAGATAAATACTTGTGCAAAACAAAGCTAGAGGAAAATAAATTACAGCTTAAAATCCACCTTCCTGTTCCTTTTTCTCTATCTTGAGCCACCTTCTTTTCCAGGGGAGACCTGGGGTTTGCCAATACAAGTGAGTGCCAGGAAGCCACGAGCGGGTCCGTCCGCAGGGCCTCGTACACTCCCTGCCATAGCACAGCAGGGCAAACCCTTTTTCAAGACAGACGGATGTGAAGCCAGAAGTGGACAACAAGGTCGGTATCTTTGGTTTCTTGCTTGGACTGGGAAACACTGTGAGGCTGGCTGCTGAGAGCCTCCTAGCCCAGACCAGGTCTCCTAGGGGCCTCGTTCCATGGGCTGGCTCGCTCTCAATACAAAGCTGCTCCAAGATCCGGGCAGGGCAAAAGGGCAGCAGCCTCGGCTCTGCAGGGTCTCAGATATGATTCTGTCTCCCGCTGCCCTCCTCTGCAAGGGCCCTGATTAAACCCAGACCCGTACTCCGAACCCCGAGCGCCACACCTAGGGCCGCCCCCAGGGCTCAGCAGCCCTGTCCACAAAGAAAACAAGGAGAGCTGGGACTTCCAATTTCCCTCCAAACAGGGAGGCCCACCCTTGTTATGTGCTTCTCACCTGCCCAAAATAGAGGGGGTGGAGTTGAATATCCATAAACATCAGCTGTTCATGGTCTCATTTTTAATGCACAATTATTGTGTGTGTTCCCCCTCTTGGTGGCTTAAGGAGACCGCCGCTAAGTATAATTACACCTCTTGGAGCAGACGGCAAAGCAGAACAGAGGCACTAATACATCATACTGGGGCCTTCTAATGAACCCCATTACTCAGAAGGCAGCATTTCTGTGTGCAGTGAGCCACCGGCAGGCACTTGGCTTTGCAGGGCTCCCCGTGACCTGTTTGCACTAACATCCCAGGTCCCAAAGAGGCTGTACAGTTCCTGTTTCTCTGCAAAGTGCAACGTAGGAGAGAACACAAACAGAATCTAAA